GTCAGGATAATATGTCATAGCCAAAGTACTAAAAAGATAAAGAGAAAATATGATTCGCATGAAGGAAGGTGAGAAAGGAGGAACAAAGAAACAAACAAAAAGATGGATGAGACAAGGCAAAAATAAGTAATTAGGAAAGTGGCAGACCTAAAGTAAATTATTTTAACAATTGTACCAAATTTAAATTAATCAAATATTCCAATTAAAAGTGTGATTAGTCAGGCTAAATAAAAAAAGCAAGAATCAAATGTCTATAAGAAATGCTCTTTAAATATGAAGGAATTAAAGCAGTGCTTAAAGGAAAATTGAAAAGATTAAAAAAGATATAGCATGCTAATATAAGAAGGGAGCACAAAAAGATGGGAGCGGCTTTAATAACAGTTGACAAAACGGACTTAAAAATACTGGGTATTTGGGAACCAGCAGTTAGCATAATGGCTATGTCGCTGGATTCCCACGTAGTCGACCGCGGTTCGTGTCCTGGACCCGGTGGCTTAAAACTCACGCCGGGCGCGTGTGCGTGCGTGCCCAAGATCCTGAGAGGAGAATGGAGGAGAAGGGATTGCGGCGTGACCATCCCCCCTGGGGGGTAATTTCTCGCTTTCTGTCTCTATGTCTCTCTCTGTCTGTCTGGCGAGCGCATGCGCCCTACAGTGAAAATCTCTCCAAAAAAAAAAAAAAATACTGGGTATTATTAGAGATTAAGAGGAAAACTTCATAATGGTAAAAAAGCAAATATATCAGGAAGATATTATTACTTATATATCTAGTAATATTGATTTAATATAATCAAGTAGAAATTGACAGAAAAATGGAAAACTCTGCAATCACAGAGACTTTAATATACTTCTCAGAAATTGGTAAACTAGCTTAGAATTAAAAAAAATAATCACTGAGGATCTAGGAGAGCTAAATGACATTATAAACCACGTTTACCAGTTGTAATTGATAGAATACTATACCCAAAGCATGCAGAATGCAGTGTGTCCTCCTTATCCAAACTTTTACTTTCTGTGGTTACCTGTGGTTAACTGTGATCTGAAAATAGATAAATACAGTGGAGTAAGTTTTTTGAGAGAGACCACATTCACATAACTTTTATTACAGTATATTGTTATAATTGTCCTATTTTATTATTGGCTATTGCTGTTAGTCTCTTACTGTGCTTATTTTATAAATCAAATTTTATTCTAAGTAAGTATAGAAAAACACATTGTATATATGAAGTTTGGTACTATCTATGGCTTCAAGCACTCATAGGAGGTTTTTTTTTAACATATCCTCCAGATAAGGAGATACCACTATACACATTCTTCTAAATCCATATGGTAAAGCCACAAAGGTAGAGCATATACTGACTAAAACAAGTCTCAATATGTCTCAAAAAACTTCAGTCTTACAAAGTGCCTTTTATCGGGACCAGCAGTTAGCATAATGGCTATGTCGCCGAACTCCCATGTAGTCGACCACGGTTCAAGCCCCAGACCTGGTGGTGTAAACATGCTGGGCGCGTGTGCTTGTGTGCCCAAGATCCCAAGAGGAGAATGGAGGAGATGGGATTGCAGTGTGGCCATCCCCCCCGGGGGGGAGGGGTGATTTCTCGCTTTCTGTCTCTCTGTCTCTTTTTTTCTGGCCAGTGCATGCGCCCTATAGCAAAAACCTCTACAAAAAACAAAACAAAACAAAAAAAACCAAAGTGCCTTTTATGACTATAATAGAATTTAACTCTAATTCAATTATAATTCAACAAGAATATTTTGAAAATTTCAAGAATATTTTGAAATTTTAAAACTTATTTTTAAGTAACATATTGGGGCAGGACCAGCAGATGGTATAATGGTTAAGTCATTGTTGGACTCCTACATGGTTGACCATGGTTCAAGTCCTGGCCTCAGTGACTTCAAACTCACACCAGGTACATGTGCATGTGTTTCCAAACTCCCAAGAGGAGACTGGAGGAAAAGGGATTGTGGTATAGCTATCCCTCCTGGGGATGTACCAAATTTAAATTAATCAGCTTTTTGTATTTTTTTCCCAATCCTTTTCTTAATAGGTAAAATTTTGGACTTTTTCTTAAGGTGGTATATATATAATAGCTTTTGTTTGAATAATAATAGTCAAACTTCTACTTAATTAAGGCTGAAATTTCCTCTAATTATAACCTGTTGTTTTAATTTACTGAAACAAAATAAAATGTACTCAGCTACCAGAAGGAGTCTGCTCCCATCACAAAAGTAGTATTTTAATCTAATCACTGGGCTGGCTCCCAGACTTCAAACCCTGTTCCCACATTAGCATGTGTTATATTAATTCTGAGATTTGTCCTGGGTGATTTTTGTAAAAATCTAGTATAATTACCATTTGGACTCACTCATATCAAGTTAAGTTAAAACCAGATAGCAGGAGATAAAGTACATGCCCATTATAGCAATATTTGGGCTATGATCTGAATACCCTCAATATCCCAGATCAGAACTGCCCTGACAAACAATGCTGTCCCCCTAAAAAGCACCTAGTGGTAAATAAAATGAGTTTCTGCCCCAATTCCTTGGGCTTCAAGAAACAATTTAGGTCACAGTAGAAACATGAAGCCCCAAAACAATAAACTCAGTACACTGAGAAAAATAAGATTCTAACATGGAAGTACTTTTCCAGATAGACCAATACAAGTGTGTGTCAGCCACAATAAAACTGCACAGATAACAGTATTGAACATCCAAGAAATGTCCAAAAGCAGTAACAATAGAAATAAAGCTGGTCATTAGCTACAACAGGCCAATGGGATTGGTGTCTTGGAGCTAAAGACAGAATAAAACCTAGATTGATTGAAATTTGCTATATACACTCAGAGATCCATGGGCTTTCTGAAGTAGTGCTGCAGACAAATACTCATCAGCCACTGTGAGGAACCACCTTCCATAAACTCTTTCCTCTAAAATTAGATACTGTAGTTCTAAACTCTGGGCCTCAACTTCTAACAGAGTAGAGATCTACCCAGAGAAAACAAAGAAGGGGGAGAGATAATCACAAAATCTCCTAACAACCCTTAGCAAAACTCACTTCTCTAGACACTTGGCAGAAGTGGGCTGGTTGGGCAGAATAACCTCTCTGTGACATTTTATGTCTTTGGTGGATGAAAGGAGAAATCAAACAGAAAATGGAAAAACTAATTTGATGAAAAGGAGAGAAGTAACTCTTCTGATAAACTAAGGATCTGGCCATCCATGGACCAGGATCTACCTTTCAACATAGTGTTCTTAAGGACTACCATCTTCAGGACCCTGCAATGCTGACCACCTCAGGAGAGCCTGCTCTGGAGACCTTGAATGTCCTCCTTTATATACTTCATGTAGTTTATCACACAGCACTGGAATTAAATTGATTATTCTTTGTCTCCTTACCAGCTCAGAGCACTTTGTTGTAGTGAATTCTCTGTAATGATTCTAGGTAAAAGATGATGTCATCTTGCTGCCTCCCATCAGTGCCTAGCATAAAGCCGAGCCAAATGCACTAATAAACACACACATATTGAAAAATCACAACATACGTGTATGAAAGGAACTATTTAAATGCTCTGAACTATTTAAATGCTCTGAGAACAACATGTTTTATGCCTTGTACCCCAATATTTGGAGAGATACCTAACACATAGCAATCATTCAATTTCTTTTTAGTGGAACTAAACTTGGAACTATGCTAAGACTTTGACTTTAAACTTAGTAAAAAGATACTACCTTGACTTTGCAAAAATGGCCATCATAACAACTAAGTAACAGACTGCACACTGTTTCTGATGCAATGTCATCAGTCAGGATATATATATATATATTTTTTTTTTTAATAAAGCATCTGAGAATGAAGGCAGCTGGACCCAATTCAGGTGATGTACCCCTGACTCAGTTTTTCCATTATCCCGGAGCAAGTTCCAAAGAGTCTGTTGTGAACTAACACTAACGTAGTTAGATGAAAATAAGGGTGCCTTTTAGTGAAAATAAAGATGCCTTTTAAGTCAATCTAGAAGCAGTTGCCGCTATAGGTAGACTTCAAGAAAGGGTGAGTTGCAACATGCCCTAAGAACTGTTCTTGATTTCGTACTTTCTCCAACCACAAAAGAAGTAGAACTGTCTCCTATAGCCAACTCCAAAGAAGAAATGTAAACATGTTTGAAAATCAGAGAGAAAAGCTAGTAGAATATTTTCAAAACAAGAAAACAGTAAGAAATTAGGGGATTCACCCATTTAAATTTATAAAAGAGAAGAGGATGAGGTTTGGGAAACCTTTGTATGTGAAACAGATTCCTCTCCATACAGGTGAGGGCCCATCTACACAGGGATTTGAAATGGAGAAGAGAAAAGTTGTCCATATCAGGGAAAAATGGCCATCATAACAACTAAGTAACAGACTGCACACTGTTTCTGATGCAATGTCATCAGTCAGGATATATATATATATATTTTTTTTTTTTAATAAAGCATCTGAGAATGAAGGCAGCTGGACCCAATTCAGGTGATGTACCCCTGACTCAGTTTTTCCATTATCCCGGAGCAAGTTCCAAAGAGTCTGTTGTGAACTAACACTAACGTAGTTAGATGAAAATAAGGGTGCCTTTTAGTGAAAATAAAGATGCCTTTTAAGTCAATCTAGAAGCAGTTGCCGCTATAGGTAGACTTCAAGAAAGGGTGAGTTGCAACATGCCCTAAGAACTGTTCTTGATTTCGTACTTTCTCCAACCACAAAAGAAGTAGAACTGTCTCCTATAGCCAACTCCAAAGAAGAAATGTAAACATGTTTGAAAATCAGAGAGAAAAGCTAGTAGAATATTTTCAAAACAAGAAAACAGTAAGAAATTAGGGGATTCACCCATTTAAATTTATAAAAGAGAAGAGGATGAGGTTTGGGAAACCTTTGTATGTGAAACAGATTCCTCTCCATACAGGTGAGGGCCCATCTACACAGGGATTTGAAATGGAGAAGAGAAAAGTTGTCCATATCAGGGGCTTAGCTTTGTGCAGTGGCAGTATCGTAGCCAATGAGGTTTATCCGAGGCGCAATTATTGCTAATTGAAAACTTTTCCCAATATCAGGGGCTTAGGCTGGCTCTGAAATGTTTGTTTTCCCAGACCCCAGTGGCCCTGGGGACGATGAGACTTAACACCTAAGAGGCACAAACTCCAGATATCACCTCAATCCCACCTTTCAACTTCATCAGACCTCTTTTGAGGTCTGGTTCAACTCTCCCATGGGGCAAGGTAGGTTTGCAACTTAGGTGCTGATGCTTAACACATTCACTGGGCAGAGAACTCTTGGAGTTATTTGCCAGAGCTGGGGGTAAACCCTTTCCACAAAAATAGTTCCATTCCCACTAATGGCAACTCTGCATCTTTGACAGCTCCATGCCTGTCAGCCTCTTGTAATCCCACTGAGAGTCCTGCTCCTGCTGCCTCTATTAGTCCATTTTCCTTCCAGACTGACAGTCCTTCCTCCAGACCTTTTGCTGTTTGGCCTCTAACTGAACATGGCCTTTTTTAGCTTCCTAAAGTTAGTCTTTTTACTTTAAGCTTTACATTGTCCTTTCTTGAGCAACCTATTTGAGATTCTAGTCTATGGCATGGTTTGGAATCCTATTCTATGTTGTATTGCTATCCTGTTTCCCAGAACCCCACCCTCTCTCACCAAATATCATATACAGATGTCCTTCTGTAGCCTCATGGAATTAATTCCAGGAATCCTTTGGATACCCAAATTTGCAGATGTTCAAGTCCCTTGTATTTATTTAGTCTCTAACTGTCCCCAAGCCCATGTAAGAGCTGGGGAAACCAGCATTTCAGAGTCAGCCTAAACCCCTCTTATTGACACTAGATTAAATTGTGTAGAATTGGTATATAACCTGTATACATCTCCCACAAACTTCGAATAATCTCTAGATTACTAGTAACATGTAATATACTATAAAAGTTATATAAATAGTTGTTATGATGAATTGTTTAGAGAATACTGACAAGGAAAAAAGTTGATATATACTCAGGACAACCATTTAAAAAAAAATATTTTCAATCTACTGGTGGTTGAATCAGATGTAGAACCTGAAGAGAGGGAGGACCATTTGTATGTCCTTCTCCTTCAGGGAAGCACTTCAGGGTTCTCCTTTCCAGAGCACTTCTTTTCCTTCCACATTTTACCCTCCTTCCTTAATCTGAAGAACCTAATGCTGATATTCAGTCAAACCTATATTCTTGTGCGGTATTTGTCCCAAGGGAGAAATGGCATATAGCTGGCATTGGTACTGCCACAGCCTTTCCCTCATCTGGCCTCAGCAACATTGCTACTCAATCATGGTCTTCACTTCCCT